GTGCCCCTTTAATGGGTAATTCTTATTTTGCACAGGATAATACAATTTTAATAGTAAAAGAATAGTGTTAATAATTTAATAATAATTTTTTATTAAAAATAAAAATTTTATATTTACCTTACAATAAAATAAAATAAAATAAAGAATGAGAGACACTTGTATACATTGGGCAACCAACATTAAAAAAAAAAAAAAAAAGAGTAAAACAGCGAGTTTTAATCCCCTTTTTTTGGAAGAAGGAGCGTCCACATGTCAAACTACTCAATGGAAAAGTCAATATTACCCTCCTATTTAGGCTCGATTTAGGAAACATATGTCTGCAAGTTCGACATTTCATCTACCTTCCCATAAGAGGTTGCGTCATTTTCAGACAAAACTAGAGGGATTTGCAGATCATTCACCGGTTCGTCATCAAGACCGCCATTGTTTCTTTTGATGTTTGCTTCTCAGGAAGATGAAGAAAAAATGAACCAAATAAAAGGATAAAGAAAATTTTGTTTTTATTTATTGGTGTGATTTCTTTCTAGGTCTCCGTCCTTTGTTCAAAACACCAACTTTAGCTCACCCGCTTAAATAGCATCCAATTCCTCCAAGTATCCAACATTTGATTTCACGTTTTGGGTTTTGCCTTTTCATCATCCCCAGTAACAGAAAAAATAAACAATCCCACAAAACACAGGAAAAATCACTACTTTTGAAGTTTTCAAAGACCAAAGCTTTCACCTTGATGATGGTTGCATGCGAGAGATGACGCGTCATATCTGAACTGGGTTTTTCTCCTTTTTGCGTGGTAAATGGGAAACGTGACGTCGAATGTGGCGGCGAAGTTTGCGTTTTTCCCTCCGGAGCCGCCGACGTACGAGGTGTACCTGGAGGAGGAGGGGAGGTTGGTTCTCTCAGGGCTGACGGCGGATAAGAATGTCGATGTGCATTTGCTTGAAACCAAAGCGGGAAATAAGGTCGTTGCCACCTTTTGGAAGCACCCTTTTGCCCGGTTCACGCTATTGTATTCCCATGGCAATGCTGCAGACTTGGGTCAGATGCATGAGCTCTTCATCGAGCTCAGAGCACACCTTCGTGTCAATATCATGAGGTACTTCTTTTCTCCATTTTTGTGCATTTTCTTAGGGGTTTCCTGTTTTCCTGTTTAAATGATTTAAGTTGTGATGGGGTTTTTTGGGGTGGATTAAAAGCAATCATGGCAAAATATTTCCCTTTTTCCTTTGTGTTAAACACATATTGCTTTATTGATTGATTCTAACATAGTCTGGGTTATGAATCTTTTGATTTTGCTCCTGGTTTCTGCGAATGTTGTTTGTGTCTGTATAATTCGGTGGAAGAATATGTGTTTGTCATTTCAGACATCTTTTTCATTTTGAACATGTCTCGTCTTTGGCCGAAACAGAAAAACATGTTTTTGTCTCAATTGTTTGTCTTTGCATATGTGGAATCATTCTTTGGTTCACCTTTATTCGGCAAAATTTTATTTTATGCAATTCTGCTAATCATTGCTTCAATTGAATTATTATCCGGCTATAATCTTGTCTTTGTTTTTGGTATTAACTTGTAAAGATGTCATGAAATTAACACCTAAAAATTATATATGAAATTTAGACTTGTTTCCAAATTTACAGTGTTTGTCATCCATTATTTTTGTTTTTTTTTTTTTTTCTTTTTTGATTCTTTTTTCCTTGCTTGCAACTGTGTTCAAATTCCATTAATTCTGGCTGAAAAGAAAGAAGATTAAAGTACCGAAAAGAAAATTAAGCAGGAGGCACTTAAGAAACATGATTAAGAAGTGTATTTATCTGTTATATTTTCCAATAGCAGGAGATATGATTTTCTAATTAATAGCAGAAATAAAAAGCTTGTAAGACGCATCCATGTATAGTAACAAGGTGATTTCCTATATTATTTATTTCATTTGTGTCTTCTTTTGCAGTTATGACTATTCAGGATATGGAGCCTCAACTGGCAAGGTAAAAAATCCAATGATATTGGTTTGCATCTGAAATTTTTGTTAGTGCTCTGAAAATTTGTTATGGTGCCTTCAAAAGAATAAGGATGTACGGAATGGAATATGTCATTTATCCATTTGTTTATCTATCTTTTAACTTGCCTGGCAAATTTGATACCTAATTAGCTGTTATTGTCATAATTGCAATAGCCGACTGAGCTCAACACATATTATGACATAGAAGCAGTATACGATTGTTTGAAGAGAGATTATGGAGTAAAGCAAGAAGAATTGATAGTGTATGGCCAATCTGTTGGAAGTGGGCCAACTTTGCACTTGGCTTCCCGATTACAAAAATTGAGAGGAGTTGTCCTTCACAGTGCCATCCTTTCAGGCATAAGGGTATTATATCCTGTCAGGATGACATTTTGGTTTGACATTTTTAAGGTAGGTTTGATTTCAATGTTAGTACAATATTTTATTCTGTTGCAAGATTACATGACCACTTAATCAAGCTCTGTTCAATATCTACAGAATATAGACAAAATACGGCATGTCAACTGTCCGGTTTTAGTTATACATGTAAGTTACCCTAACTACCATGGTTTCTTTTCATGTTGCCTGTTCCCTTACTTAAGCTCTTCCATTTAGTGGGAATCTTTTGTAGAAATCATCGTAGATGTTAAACAACATCATTTTCCACTTATTGAGTTGAACTCTGATATTTTTGAAGCCCTAGTTATTACCTTAAAATGGCAGGACTGGTGACCTTAAGCATCTTCTTTGTACCCTCTACACATTCTGTGGAATCTTGTGTTAAGTAGAATGCTACATAACTATATAGCATATGTATTCATATATGAAAGGGTATATCATCAGTAACCCAACTGGTAAATTTTGTGGTTTGCAAATCTTCTTCCATCATTTCTCATCTCTATCTGGCTGGTTTCTGTATAGTCTATGGATTCAGAACTTTGTTTCAAGTAAAATTTTCATTTGCTGGCATTGTTGGATTCATATCTGGTGATTACAAAATTGCAGGGGACAAATGATGATATTGTTGATTGGTCTCATGGGAAGCGGTTGTGGGAGCTTTCCAAGGAAAAGTATGATCCTTTATGGGTCAAGGGTGGTGGCCATTGCAACCTTGAGACTTATCCCGAGTACATTAAACATTTGCGCAAGTTCATAAACGCGATGGAGAGGCTCTCCCTTACAAAGCCTACAAAAGAACTCACTTCTGTCGCAAGCATTACAGAAACCAAACACAATAAATGCTTGAGATTTGGGAAATAATAGTATGTTACAAAATAGTAGTGATCAAAACAGGTAGTTTTACCGTAGTAAGTATGAGTCCAGCTCCAAGAATCAGTGTAGCTTGCCGTTCACTCTATGGACCCAGTGATTGTTATCCAAGGTTATTGTGCTTGGTTATCTTCTGAGATTAACAACTGATCAGAACCATATACACTCATGCGAGCCATGTCCTCGAGGGTGATCCGGTTCCTTTTCTGATTAACAATTTTCAGGTGTGGGGCGATTGCGATGGTCTGGATTTCTTGTATAATTAACAAAGTTGGTCAATGTAAAAACTATCACCATTTTCAAGATAGATATATGCATTTCGTTTGCTATTCACCATGCATCTCATCTTTTTCTCCTTTTCTGTCGTGTACAATCTTATAGCTTGTTAAGTCACCATGATGATCACAGATTCAAAGGTCTGTACAAGAGTACAGTAATTTCTCAGACCAAGGAACCTTAAAACCAACGCCAGAGTCCACGGATCAACCCAAGTTCAAAACTTATTTTAAAAGAGTCAAGCCTCAAAGTCAGTATCCATTGGCCAATTCCACCATAGCACCCATCTGAAGGAAAAGATGGAATGGCCCAAACCATTTGGAAAGCTTTCCTCAAGCCTCAAAAGCAGTATTGGCGAAATGGCTCTCTATAAAAGGATCACTCCCTAGTTATACAAGTCACAAAAATGCAATCTTTTCTCAGTTAGCTTCTTTTATAACCTTGACATCATTTCTCTTAAAGAAAAAGAGATTTTTCCATGAGAGCTCTGTATTTGGTTCATAATCTTCACATGGGTAAGCATCAAAAACAGAACTTGCTTTATCAACATATTTATAAATATAAAAGGACATGATTCACATGAAACATAATGTAGGAGAAAGAAGAAATCACGAGGAGGTCACTTTCATATGATCATATATGTGTGGAGGAATATCTCCTAGGAAAAGACAAAATTAGGTAGACTTAATAATTCAATGATCCGATAATTTCAGTGACTGATTTCCAAAATCAATCTCTTTTTCTCACCTCCCACGCAAAGGAACCAAAACTATATTCAATCAATGTTAGAACAAATTAAGATCCGATGAAAACTTACCATGTAATTATAGTTTATTAACCTAAAAATTATTTATTTTGGCTTAGCATGTTATCCAAGAGGGTTCATATATGTATGTATATATATATACACATATGATCTTGAGTTGCAAAATAAAAAATAACTCTTTTACATTTCTTAATTTATTTAATTCCTATGTCATATGACTCAAATCGAAAATTTTTTACTTTCAATTGAAAAAGATTGCCATTGGGTTTTTTAAGTTATTGGAAATTTTTTTTTTTAATATTTCATATAATTCAAACTTGAAACCCTTTACTTTCAATGAAAATATATTACTATTAAATTATTTAAGTTATTAACAATTTTTATTTTTTTAATATATAGATTAAGTAGAAAACATCATGGGCATTAAATGGATGCCAACTTTGTTATGACCAATTAATAATTATATTCAAGATTTTGTTTATATACTCCAAAAACTTGCTAATCATTTGGACTTAAATTTTTAGGATTGGATGCTGAGAGAATACTAAAGCTCCCTTTAATAGACAGAATCACAGACAGATAGATCCAAAAGGGAAAAAAGGGTGAAATTGTACCATGAATTCTTACAAAGGAACATGAATTAAAGCATATGTAAACAAAAAGAGGGAAATGCAAAATGTCAGCATCGATGGAGCCAGATAAATAAAAGGGAACAGAGCAGAGTTGTTTTCCCAGAAAATTAAAAGAGAAAATTTTTTTGTATATATGTACCTGGAAATAGGGTTCTACTTGTCTCCAACAGTAAAAATATTAGATTAAGAAAATATGATTTTTTTTAATATATAAACACCAATTCTCTGACCATAAAAATCAAAGAGATCCACATCGGCCACCATATGCTGGGACTCTGACAAACACAACTGGTTTCCAGTTGATGGGAGGAAAATGTCTCAAGGGCAACATTTGAGAATCTTTTCCCATTAATATGAATATCTTTGTTATATAAAACCTCCACAAAACAAATTTATTGACAATAAATTTTTATTATCAAGTAGAAAAATCTCACATCATAATATAATAAAAAATATGTGTAACTTAAATATTAGTAAAATTATTTTATTTGTTGTCAATTAATTATAAGTCAAATGTAAAACTTGTGTTTTGGTTTACATTTCAATTTTCTTATTTTCTTACTCACAACATAATACCAAAGGTAGTTGCTTTTCAAAAAAAAAAAAATACTAATAATAATAATATAAAGGTAGTTTTTATTGTTTTTTTTTTTTTTTTAACTTAGAGAAACATTTAAAATAATTTGCTTTAACTCAGTCGATGTCATGTAGAATAATTAATTTGTTATTAAAAAACATTGTCTTAAAATCTTACAATTAACATTTGCTCCTATAATCCTATTTGCTTTATTACCTTAACTTTTTTCATACCATTGCTAGAAGTAAAGACTCCTTTGTTGTTTTCTCTTTTCTTCTTTTCCAACTTTATAGTGTTGTTAGGGATATTCGATCTGCTTCATACCAAGAAAACTCCAATTTTTTTTTTTTAAGTTGATTGGGATGTTTCAAAGATTATGACAAAGAAAACCCTTCTGAAGCTCCCTGTATAAAGTTGTTGAAAAGCATATTTTTGAATCGAAAAAGTTGCTTTTAGACAGTTTTTGGATCTTTGGTTGGGGGTTTAGGTTATTCATGAAGGATTACAAGAGGCTACATATATATATATATGAAGAACATTTTTAACTTCAAATCAAATCAAATTTAGAAAATTATCACTATAGAATCTTAATTTTTTTGCAATTGCATTTACATGAAATTTTAACAATAAATATACACGTATAAAGATTTATAAAAAGAAAAAGTGAAAATCTAAACATTATGACATTTTAAATGTCTTGATTAGCTATAAAATTATTTAAATATTTTTAATAAATTTTTGTGTGTGTTAATTTATTAAAGTTATTAAAATCTTTTCATTATTATTCTTAATATTTTAATTATCAAGATGTTTGAATTTTCCACAATCTCATGATTTATATAGCATAATGTGATATCAAATAATTAAATGCATCTTTAATTAATTCACATGAAATATTAAATAAAAATTTAATTATAAAATAACATGTTATATTATATCAACTATTATAATAAAATCACTATAA